TCCCCGGAATCAAACCACAACCCATTCCTGACGTAGAAAGCCCTGAAATCGAAATCAATCCCGTACCAATTGTACCTGGAATCAAACCTCAACCAGTTCCCGGAGTTGAAACCCCAGAAATTGACATCAGTCTCCCAATTGTACCCGGAATCAAACCACAACCTGTTCCAATCGTACCAGGATTTAAACCCCAAAGTTATTGAAGTCATTGTCCCCGCCAACTATTAAATAGAAAATGTAACTTTGTTATCAATATTATGTAAAATTATTAGTTTTATTAATAAAATTATATATAACTGCAATTAAAAAACAAATTAGTCTTTTTTATGAAGTAAAAACATAAATACATAAAAGTACTTAAAAATACAAGATTCGGCAGAATGAAGTATCCATTTGAAATTGAGTTGTTTTGGTTAAATTTTTATAACACAGAAATATTATTTTTTAAATATGCATTACATTAGTCAAATGACGTCCTACTTGCTGTACGGCACTCTTGAAGTGTAGCAAGTAAGTTTTGTATCACCCGCTCCTGTCTAAACTGGCCGTGACGGTCACCAAATCATTAAATTTGTGATTTCTTTTATTGAGCTACTAAAACTTAAAAGTGTTTCTAATCGGCCGCAAACTTTACAACAACTAAAATAATATTAGGACAGAAAAACCCAATTGCAATGTTTAGAGCGGGAGAAAAAAAACTTACATGTTAGGCTTCAAGAGTGTCGGATAGCAAAGAGGAGATTATTTGACTAATGAATATTTAAAAAAAAATACTACCTAATAAGTAATGACTATGAATATGTTTTTTTTTCTCAGTGAAATATCAAACAGAACTGTGTAAAGTTTAAGTTTGAAAAATACTGAAAAATATAATTACAAAAGTTTTTTAAATAATAGTCAAGTCTTTTATAATAAAACAAAATGGCGATTGGTAAAAAAATTATATAATTATATAATATTAAAACCAAAAAAATGTTTATTTTCTCGATTTGAAAATCCTAAAATTTACGTTTACGAAGATTAAAAAATAATATTTATTATTATCTTGTCTTTAGGTTTTAACCTAGATCTTTTTTTTAGCTCCACGAAGAATTTGAATTATTTTATTTTAAAAACATGGTTAGCTGACTGTTATAAATATTATGTCGAATACTCGTATAACTATTTAAAAACAATCTAATTTCAATAAAAATATTGGAGAAAAAAAAAAACAGTGTGAAGCAACAAATTAAAATAAGATTTCTTTGCATATTTTAAATTTGAAATATAAATAATAAATATAATTATAAAAATTATCAATTATCACGTAAATACTCATACTAGTCCTATTAATTTTTGTCTGTTTCTTCTTGGTAAAGTTTAATAAAGCTCTTATAAATAAAAATAGTTGAATATGCAATAAATTGGACTATGTACTCCCGTAAAAAAACTTGTAGTGATAAGTATCGATCTGAAAGAATAACCAATGATTTTGTTACTTATCAATTTATTTATTATTTCCGTAACAGACATATACCCCGTGATATCAAATAATACACACCTTGAATCTTAACAGTCAGATCAATAATCTGATAATAGAAGGTTTACTGGATTAATAAAAGCCCAAAAAATTAGATAAGAAAATGAGCATATTTCCATTCAAGATAATGAGCTGCATTTGTATACGCGTAAGCAGCAAAAAATAATTAAAAATCATAAATCATTATAATTGTTTAGATCACAATACCAATAATGAATAAATTTGTTAACCTTGTGTCACTTAACCATGTGCCTAATGCCAGAGCAACTATTATATGAAAATTAATAATAATATAAATAAATAATATTAAAAATAATGCAATTGTTACAAAGCAAATACCGTGCAATAAAAAATATATATTAGAGAAGGCGATGATTATTATTAATACTCTACAGTTGGCAAGACGTTGGCTGGGAATCTGGGCTGGAAATTTTCCTCACAAACTGAAAAAAAATGACCATTCACCGTTTTCGTCTTGTACAGCATTTTTGTAATAACTTGCAACAATAAAAATCTTCTGCTCTAAAGTGAACATTATTTCACTCAAAATGAATAAAACGCAAACTAGTCAAAGTTTCCACTGACATTTGATGTCAAAAATCAGGATTGCCATCTGCAGGACTTTTAATCGCCGCCTACTCTAATTTACTTTTTTTTTTTTGATCGCACGGTATAATTTTGTGGATACATATTATTATGTAGAGAAATATCAATTCGTAATAATTTTAATTTAACAACTACTATAAAATAGTTACGAGATGAAATTCCTTCAAAAAACAAAAAGAAATCAACCTGATATAAAATCATTTCTATAATTACCTTGGGTAGTATTAATTATTATTTGTTAATTACAACATAAATTATTCTTCGACACTGTCAAAATTTACGGTTTTTCTCCCGTGTAAGGAAGTTTTAACAACTGTTTGGCATTTCTCAGTACGAAACGTCAGATTATTTTTAACAGATTTAAAGCAAGTTTAAGCCTTGTTGAGCCTAATTCGAAGAATAAAATGTTGTATTCAACTCATCTGAGTGTAAATCGGACGCTTAAGTTACCGAGTGGATTTTTAAACCACGAGTGTAACGAGTGGTTTATCATCCACTCGTAGAATAAATAACTATTATGAAACTTATTAATCAAATTATTAGCTTTCATAATAATATAAATTAAATAAAATGATGTTACAAAACGAAAATTCTGTAAAAATCCTAAGAAGTTTTGATGTAATTGAAAAAACCGTTATGTGTGAAAAATGAAGAATCCTAAGAATGTTAACTATTGTTATCTTAATTCTTACTACTATACTTATTAATTATTATTATTAGTATGCGGTTCCTTATAGCAATTAAAAACAAGAACAATAAACAAGTAAGCTTTATTATTATATCGGCGCTACATTATTGTATCGAAAAAACGAAAATTTGTTTTATTTTTATTAGATCAATTAAGACACTGCAGTCTTACACTTTATCAAACTAATCCTCAATTAAAATAATATTACTTTATAGACGTTTAATATAAAATTACATATATAAGCTATTGAGTAAATTGGAAACGATATCAGTTCTTGTGTTGATTTCCTCAAGATGAGAACAATAATCGTTTTAAGCATTGCTTTGGCGCTCATCCCAGGTAAAAGAATTGAAATTTGTAATCTAAACTGACAAAACTGACTAATATTACAGGATTGCAATCGCGATCACTGGTTGTCGCCCCTATTGCTCCAGCTCTTCGTCCCCTACCAATTATCATCAAACCTGAAGTTGAATCCCCGGAAATCGAAGTTAATCCCGTACCCATCGTACCAGGAGTCAAACCTGTCCCACTCCCAGAGGTCGAAACCCCAGAATTGGAAGTCAACCCTGTACCAATCGTTCCAGGAGTCAAACCTGTCCCACTCCCAGAAGTACAAACCCCAGAATTGGAAGTCAAC